TCTATTGTGTGTATGTACCATAGTTTGGTTATCTATTCCTCAGTTGATGGATATCTAGGTTATTTCCATCTTTTGGCTACTGTAAATAGTGCTGCGATGAACATGGGTGTGCATATATCTGTTCTTGTCATGGCTCTCACTTCCTTAGGGTATATATCTAGTAATGGGATGGCTGGCTCAAATGGTATTTATAATTCCAACTTTTGAAGAAATCGCCATAATGCTTTCCACAATGGTTGTACCATTTTACAGTCCCACCAGCAGCGTGTGAGAGTCCCAATCTCTCCACAACCTCGCCAGCATTTGTTCTGAATATTTCTGCTTGTTCTCTTTTTTATTGTGATGTGGAGGCTTATCATTTTTGAGGTTACCCTATGATTTATAATTTTATCCCCGAGATTAGAACAGTCCATTCTATCTTTCAACTTTCTTAACTTCCTCACCATTTAGAAATTCTGTGACTACACAGTCTTTTCCCCCTTTTTTCTTTGTAGTTGTCCTCACTTGCCAATTGATGTCCCTGTTTACAATCTTGTAAGCTCATTTTACTTTGGATATGTCCATAGCTGTGGTTTCTGGGTTATGTTATCTTGTGTATTAACGGTCGGTTGTTATTTGCTATTTTTGGTTCTCTGTTCAAAGGATTCCCTTTAGCATCTTTTGTAAGGTTGGTCTGGTTTTAACAAATTCCTTAGTTTCTGCTTACCTGGAAATCTCCTAATTTCACCATCATATTTGAGGGACAATTTTGCCAGATATATAATTCTTGGTTGAAAATTTTTCTCTTTCAGGGTTTTATATATACCATCCCATTGCCTTCTTGCTTGCATGGTTTCTGCCGAGAAATCAGAGCTTATTCTTACTGGCTGTCTGCAAAAACGGCAAGGAGGCCACCTGTTCTGACCTCCTCTCATCTCACAAGAGGAAGACAGCAGTAACCCAAGGCCTATTACTGCAAGGCCAAACATGCTGCCTCCCTCCAGCCCTTTCACCAACCATTCCTCCCAAAGCACCCACCACCTCTCTCCTGGGTTCGATAATTCACTGCAGTGGCCACACAGAACTCACGGATTATGGGGTTTATTTGGGAAGCACTAGGCTACAACTCAAGTTCAGGAAGAACACTCAGTCTCTTTTCCAGCCCACTGTCCCCCAGCCAAAAGTCTCTCACAGTCTCTTTCCCAGCAGTGCTGGTCCCTCGGTGTCTCACTCAGCGATGCGTGTCTCTTGCGTCTCTTTCCCAGCAGTGCGTGTCTCTTTCAGGGGCGCATGTCTCTTTCAGCAGCACGTCTTCCTCCACCAGCAATCAGAGAGAGTTCTGCCTCCAGGAGGCCTCCTTTTGAGCCTGGAAGGGTGGTCAAACTAGCCAATCACAGCATCAGAACTCTAAGCACGTGAGAGAGAGTGGGAACCTCCCAGAACATTGTATTGTGCCACGCCCAACAGAAATAACCCAGGTGGGCGACTTTAAAATCAGGATCTCCTCAGTTGCTAATAGCAATTCCCACCTTGGAGTTTACAAAGACTTATGGGTAGAAAAGCCACACTAAGTAATTTACTACACCACACTGTCCTTTGTACGTAACTTTTTGTTTTTCCCGTGTGGCTTTCAGGATTCTGTCTTTGGTTTTGATGAGTTTGATGATGATGTGTCTTGGTGATTTTCTTTTGGGGTCTATCCTGTTTGGGGTTCGTTGGAATTCCTGGATGGATATATTCTCATCTTTCGTCATTTCAGGGAAGTTCTCCTCCAGCAAATCTTGGACAATTTTCTCAGTGGTTTTGTTTTTCTCTTCCTGTTCTGGAATTCCAATGACACGTAAGTTATTCCTTTTGATGGTATCCCACATGAACCTTAGGCTTTCTTCATTTTGTTTTGACTTTTTTTCTGATTAATCCTTTTCCAAAAAGTATTCAGGTATTTTTATTCCATCTCAATCTGTCTTCCATCGCATCAGTTCTTCTCCTTTGCCCTTCCAATGTGTTATCTATTTCTGAGAATTTAGTACTAATCTTTTGGATTTCTATCTGTAGATTTAGAATCATTTCTAATTTTTCATTTAATTTGTCATTTTGTTCTTGTATTTTCATCCAAAATTCTTCTAAGGTTTTTTCTGTGTTTTCTTTGGTCTGTCTCTCAATCCTTTGAAGACACCTAAAGGTAATTCTTTTGAATTCCTTATTAGAGAGTTCCAATGCTGCTTCTTCCTCAGGGATGTATTCTGGGTCTGTATCCTGCTGCCTTGTTTCTACCACTTTGTCCTGATCTTTGTGTGGACTGTGATGGTCTGTTGTTTCCGAGGCATCATGGCGTTGTTGTATTTAGATCTCTGTTTATGAAGAGCAGCCAAGGGTGGTTCAGGCTCTTCTTGGTGGTTTTTTATCATTGGCCTGCTGCTTTTCAGTCTTGCAGGCCCCGAGTGTCCTTGGGGTTGCTTTCTTTTCATCTTCTCTGTTTGTTCCCCAGCCACCGGGCACAGTCCATGCAGTCCCTGGCTAGCAGGGTGATTTTTAGGTTAATTCTTAGGTCCTACCACCAGTCAGGAATCTCTAAGCCGCCCGTACCGTCAGGGTTGCTCAGTTCACTGTCAGACTGCAGCTCCATGTCTCCTTTTTTTGGTATTTTCACGCAAATTCTTCTGCTAGTTGGGGTTTAGTCCACTTCTGTATCCTTCCCTTCAAGGCTCAGGGGTCCAAGATTACCTTCTGTGTCTATGTTAATTGGTTTCCCTTTTCTTTGTTGAAGAGGGTCTGTGCAGTCCTTCTGCCTAGTCCGCCATCTTGCCGGAACTCGGAAGGTATTATTTTAAAAACAAATGTGTCACAATCTTCTAAAGCCTAAAACTGTGGCTAAATATGCACTAATAAAAATGTAAAAGATAATCATTTTCAAATATTCTATTATTCAGTTTTTTGAAAACTGGGAAGTATTTTGGTGTTTTTATTAGGTTGGTGAAGTATTACTTTATTTTTTATTGCAATAAAAATTTAAAAATAAATTTTAAACAATACTGAAACAAAAATAAGTCCATATTTTAATGCAAATTTTCACTAATTTAGAATTCTGTAAGTTTAATATTTGGGAAACTGTTAGAAATTGACACATTTATTATATATAAATTGTCTTACAGACCTTAGAATAAGCAGGTTTTGTAATGATTGATAAAACTTTACAAATCTTCCTAAACTACTTTTTTTTTCTAAACTACTTTTTAAGAGAGTGTTTATAGTGTGATTTTAATAGAAATTTCAATTATTTTGCAATCAATTTGAAACTGCAGCAACCATAATTTTTTTGGAGCATCACTATCCATCTGCTAACACTATTAAAAAATACACAGAACTGTAAGAGACAAAGGATACACAAATATGGCTGGGTCTGGTTTTAAAATATTAATGCACTAATAATTAGGCTGCAAATCACAATTTAAAATCACCATGACTTAAAAAATGCTATTATAAAAATTCAAGGAGAGAACATTGTTATGGGGCAGCTTAGCATTATTAGCTGTAGCAGTACTGTATATACCTTGTATACATTTACACATGCTTTCAAACTGACAATCTGTTTTAACTGCTTAGCTCATTAGGACTTAAGGATGGTGTTAGTTGAGCTTGAAACATTCTCCACTATGTTTATATACTCCCTAAACAAGGTGGTTCCTAAGATTAAATGCTATTTACTTAAAACATAAGTTTTCAAGAACACAATTACCTCATTTTACCTCAGATGAGAAATGAATATGATCCGTGTAAGTTAATTTTTCATTTACAACTTAAAGCAGTAATAGCTTAAAAATTAAATAACTTTTATAGAGTTGGTCCTAAAATGCTTTGACTTACTCCTAAGCAAAATTCCACCCCTTGGTACTGAGCCCCCCCCCCCCCAAGCTTTTCAGGAGGGTCAACACTATAAACATCAAGTGCAATAATTCATTATAATAAAGTAATGACCTCAGGACCTCCTGACATGTGGCAACTGTTTATTTTACAGTGTGCCTTCTGTAGCCCCAGATCTTTCTTCACTACTTAAAATTATTTTAGGTTCTAAAAGTTTAGAACCTCTTTACTGTTTCTGCTTTCCCAAGGCTGTTAAAAAAAATCAGTATATGTAATTTTCCACTTTATTCTGCGTCACACTTTTCCTGCAGCCTAAAATAAGTTTTTATTTTCTTTTTTGGGGTGTTGGGAGGAAAAGGAGAGTAAAAGGCACCCTGATGATGCAATGGTTAAAGCACTCAGCTCCTAACCAAAAGGTAGGCAGTTTGAACCGACCAGCTGGTCTGTGAGAGGAAGATGAGGCAGTCTGCTTCTGGAAGGATTTACAGCCTTGGAAACTTTAGGGGCCAGTTCTACTCTGCTCTATGGTATCAGGAAGAGTCTGAATTGACTAAAAGACCATGGCTTTAATGGGGGTGGGAGTAAGGAACACAGATGGGCTTTTGATAACTTGCTAGTTTGTATACTTGCTTTACAGGTGCTGGATATTTCCTGATGGATAAGATGCTAAAGGAATACATGTCAAAAGATGGCTATGTTACCACGGTGAGGACAGTAGTTAACTCTTCCAGCCTAGACCAGAAAGGGTAATACAATACTGTGTTAACAGTTAATAGGCATTTGCTATTTTATGGACACAAAAACATCTGATTTACTTAAAAGTATCAAAAGTATACCTAGATGTCATGAAATAATTTGCAACAAACTTAAACGAATTAAAATTCTTATTTCCTTGGAGCTCAAGTGCTGTAGTGCCTAAGGCATTTGACTGCTAACCAGAAGGCTGGCAGTTCATACCCACCAACCAACTCCTCAGAAGGAAGACTTCCTTCTACTTACATAGAGATACCACCTCAGAAACCCAAGAAGGGGTCACTATGAGTAGTAAACGACTCGACAGCAATGAGTTTGGTTTTTGGCTTTTTTTTAGCAAAAATTAGCTATTTGTTAGTGAGTACCTGGATGTTCATTCAACTATCAAGTAATATAGAACAAGCTGTTGTAAAACAAAACACGAAGCTGGGAAGCATTTTATTTTTTTCTACTTCATTTAACATTGGGACCACATGATTTTAAAAGTTTCTTTCCAACAATCTTTATGATTTAGGAGTGGCACTTTAAAAATAATTGCTGATGCTTTAAGTATTACTGTTCTTCTACATATTAACAATTTTACTAAAAGCCTTATACAATATACTTCTTGTTCCTTTGGTCAGAAAGATAAACAGAAACATTAAATCAGACGCAGAGACAACTCAAAATGGTATTTCAAAGTACGCCCAAGCAAATAAAATCTACATTAGCAACTATTAAAATTAATTTTAGTAGTTAAGAATTCTTAACAAAGAAGTACTGAAACATGTATGATTTTTTAAAAATTAGGTATAATTTAATAAATTTAATTTATTAAAAAAAAAAGACTAAATGGCCAAATTAAAGAAAGTTTAAGCATCAGGTTTAAAATATTTAATTTTCAGGTTATTCAGAAATATATTTTGTGAATAAGAATTATTTCATAAATATATATGTATAAATATAAATATATATCTACAGGATCTGTGGTGCAGGAGAAAATTCTTCAAAAGGAAAAAAAAATACACTTCTAGATTATCAAGATGTCATATTTACCTTCAAATGAAATATAATTACCAGTCTAGGTGCTTTTGGCACGTTTTTAGGTGAATATTGACACAATCTTAAAAACACAATGCTTTTATATTTTATTCACTGGAATATGAAGAATCAAACAGACTTTAGAATTCCGACGAACAAAACTCCAGATATCTGCAATTGTTTAATTAAATACAAAAAAAATTTTTTTAAAAAGACCTTAATTCTGTCTTTACAACAGGAACATGTAAAATTTTATCACCAAGGTTTTCTCCAACCTCCTCAGCAAGAATCCTCAGTCTACAAACAAATGTAACATCATCTTTTTCTGTTCAAGTATATCTTTTTCAGATCACACCCCAGTATATAAGGACAAAAAATAAATGTATAATAAAAAGATTGGATAAATCAGGAGAGGCTTTTTGGTCTTGAATTCTTCACCCACTAACAATGAAGCAGCACTGTAGGCAGCCCAAAACACACCAAACAGCTTTAAAAAAAAAAAAAAAAAAAGGACTAAAGGCACCATATTAGCAAGTCAAATAACTTTTTGAATATAAAACCCCAAACCCACTGCCCATGAAGTCAATTCTAACTCACACCTCTACAGGACAGAGGTAAACTTCCCCATAGGGTTTCTGAGGCTATAATTTTTATGGAAGCAGACTGCCACATCTTTCTCCCATGGAGCAGCTGGTGGGTTTGAACTGCTGACCTTTTGGTTAGCTGCCAAATGCTTCAACCACTGTACCCCCAGGGCTCTTTTTTTGTATACCATATAGTAAAAATACAGTATTTTTTGAAAGCATCTCTGACAATCAATTGTAGTAAAGACTAAAACTTATTAAGAATGTTACAAATGTATTAAGAATATTCTTTCTCTGCTCCTTGATTTCTGTATCGTGTCCTTTTCTTATCAGACCTGAATCTCTAATTAGAGATCTCTGAATCTACAGAGATTTAATGTTAAATAAAATTAGCTCTGCTAGTGTAGTGCCTCAGCCACTCTCCTCGGAAGGAAGGTTGGGCAATCCTACTTCCGTAGTGATACTGCCTCGGAAACCCAAGGAGGGGTCGCTATGAGTCAGGTTTGACTCGACGGCACATAACAACAACAACAACAGTGTAGTGCCTAAGACACTTGACTGCTAACCAGAAGACTGGTGGTTCACACCCACCAGCCACTCCTCAGAAGGAAGGTTGGGTATTCTACTTCCGTAGCGATACCACCTCGGAAACCCAAGGAGGGGTCACTATGAGGCGGGTCTGACTCGATAACACATAACAAGAACAACAACAGATTAGACTACACATATTTTAATACTAGAGTTAACTGGTGAACGTTTTCGGATGTATTTCTTAACCTTAAATTTAAATAAGAAACATGCACAATACATAGCCGCTTAAGTGATTGGGAAAAACATTTTGGAAAAAAAAAAAATTCCTGAAATTTAAAAACAATTTTTATCCTAAATTAATAATGATATAAAAAAATAGATTTTTCCATTTTATAATAATACATAGTACATGAAGAATAGTAAAGTTCTGAGATGTTACACAGTAGAGAATATAACCAGTGTTACAAAACAAAAATGTGCATAAACTGTTGAATGTAAAACAGATCTGCTTTGTAAAATTTCACCCAAATGACAATAAAAAGTTTTAAAGAAATAGTAAATTCCAGTTTTCAGCTGAATTATATGCCTGAAAACGACCAGAGGATAATGTTTTTAATAATTTTGGGAGTAGTCTCTGAAGTATTAAACAGGCTTCAATCTATGTAAAACAACACACAGCAGGAAGTGATCCTGAATGAGTCAGTAAAGTGGTATGTTCACTAAGGCTAGGATAATTAAATACCAGCATAGGGCTAGCTGCCACATTGCAAAACTTTTAAGCTAAATTCTAATAATAGGTAAAGTGCCAAATTTTTGTCTTTAAAACATTTTAGGTGGAAGGTTAGGTCTTCCCCATGGCCCCTGAAGTGCTTGAACAATTCAAACATGCTAAGATGGTCTAAAATATTCTTATATAATATTTGTTAATAACAATAGCTACCACTTGAGTGCCTATGATAGGCCAAGCACTATACTGGGCATTAATATACTTTAAAATCCTCATAACAAAACCTAAAAACTAATTGTTAACATCCCCACTTTGCAGATCGGCAAACTGAGGGTTAGAAAAAGTTAAGATATCTTCCCAAAGCAAGATGGCAAGTGATGGAAGTAGGATTTGAATTCAGAAAGGATTTGTTACAAAACTAACAGTGTCTTTAATATCCAATGTTTACATATTGTCAATATTAGCCTGTACCCAATTCTAAATGGAATCATTATTTCTTTTTTATTGGAATTAGTAATGAACTTTAAAAAGAATCAAATTTTATAAAAATTAAGAGGCTCTGGCTACTCATAAATAAATATGTTAGTGGGGAGACTACATAATGACAATTTTAGGGAAGTGGTGGTCTTAAAAAGTTCTATTATCCACAGAGAAAAACTATATTCACTGTATAATATACATACACGTGCTAAAGCAGTCATTTACCCCCCAAAGTTGTTCAAAATTAAAAACGCCGAAACTTAATTAACATTAGATCCGACTCATAGCGACCCCTCCTTGGGGTTCTGAGGCAGTATCTCCACGGAAGTAGATTGCCCAGTCTTCCTTCTGAGGAGTGGCTGGTGGGTTTGAACTACCAGCCTCCTGGTTAGCAGTCAAATGCCTTAGGCACTATGCCACCAGAGGTCCCATTTATTATTAAATAAAACCAAAAAAACAACACTCACTGCCGTTGAGTCGATTCCAACTTCCTTACTATTAAATGTATACATATCTTAATGTAAATTTAACACAGCATAAAGAATTCCTGATCTATGTATTATAATACATAAAAGTCCATTTTCAGAACTATGTTTATCATATTAGATAAGAAACATACTACTCAAATAAGAGTAAAGGTATTAAATAAACGTGCATTGGAATTTTAAATAAATTTCCTCCTTAAAAGTCTAACTGATTAACTTGTGCTATAAACATAGGAAAGAAAAATTCAACATTAAAAATTCTCTGAGTGTAATATCTTGAGGCCTGATTTGTTCTTTGTACTTTTTACCCCCTTGACATGTAATTGTCATTTCCAGCAGATTAAGGGGAAAACTCAAAGAAATGCAATTAGTAAGATCAGTTAAGGAAAGTCACTGTTTCCAAATACTAATTGTTTGATAAAAAGTTATAGATTACAATACCCTTTGCCAGGGAAATAGAATACTTTTGCCATTGAAAAATAGCACACACCTTTATATGATATACTACTTAACTTACTTTTATAAGTGTAGACACCACTTCAAATGATCCAACCACCAAAAGTACAGGGGCTATTACAATGAGAGGAAGTAATGAATATCCTATAACTCCAAGAACTTGGCCATATGCAACCTGTGAATTTTCAAATGTTAAATAAATATCATAGAAATCAAGTTTCTCATTTTAATCACTACTGAACACCATAAATTCTTTGTTTACTTATATACACAAGAGAATTAAGAAAAAGTCTTAAAGTATGATACCCTTTACATTTCAAATTATTATACACATATACCTACTGTTCACATGAATTTTCCTGGATTCTCTCACATACATTCATATTTTACAAGATGAATTTGAGCATAATTTTGGTTAAATTCCTCAAAATATTTGTTAGAATGATGTGATTGTATTAAGCTATTAGTTTAGGAAAATTTTGACATTTTCAGGATTACAAATTCTCCCACATTCTTGGCAGCACCACTATAGCTTCAATTATCATCAGTTTTCTGAAGATATCCAAATCTGTATTTCTAGACTTTATTTCTCTTTAAGTTTCAGACTTACAAATTCAATTACTTTCAGTATTATCACTAGGGTATAGTCTTATCACGACTTCCCTTAAATTGTAGGAGGATTACTTAAAGGGACTACAGTCATCTTGTTCAGATGAAAAAAATCAAGGTCTAGAGAAGCTAGATGTGACAAATGCAGACCAGGAAAGGAAAAGGAGTGAGGAGACTGAAGAGAAAATATTTCTGGTGGTTCCTATATGCCAAATTTTGTGATAGAGTTTCACATGTTGTGAAGATCAAATTAAGTTAATAACACCTTAAGCAGGTATTATTGTTCTCGTGATGGACTGAACTGCATACCCCAAAAATATGTGTCAACTTGGCTGGGCCATGATTCTCAGTGGTTTGGCAGTCTTGTAATGATATAATTTGGAGGCTTGTAATGACGCCATAATCCCCTCCCATGATATGATTTGCCAATCAGTTGTCAAGGGGATTAGGGTGGGATGACATACCTTTACTCATGTCACAGCCCTGACTGATACAAGGAGTTTCCCTGGGGTGTGGCCTGAATCACCTTTTACAAGAGATTAAAGGCGAGAGAAACAAGCAGAGAGGGACCTCAGTACCACCAAAAAAGAAGAGCTGGGAGCAGAGCAAGTTCTTTGAACCCAGAGTTCCTGCACTGAGAACCTCTTAGACCCAGGGGAAGACTGACGCCAAAACACATGGAGATCTACAAGGAACGCCAGACCCACAGATGTGGAAAGGAGACAAGGACTTTCTCTCAGAGCTGACAGAGAGAGAAAGCCTTCCCCTAGAGCTCACACCCTGAATTCAGACTTCTAGCCTTCTAAAGTGTGAGAAAATAAATTTGTTTGTTAATGAAAGACATCTACTTGTGGTATTTCTGTTATAGCAGCACTAGATGACAAAGACAGTTCCCATTATGAAACACCTAAGTCTTAGAGAGATAAAGTATTTTGGTTAGGAAAGCAAAGCTGGTAGGTGACAGAGTTCAAATTAACATCTAGTCTTCTTAATTAACTCCTCTATCAACAGTCCTACATTGCCAAAAAAATTTAGTGATATATATTTTCAAATAAATACTACATTAGGTTTTGTGTAGAATATAAGAAATACTATGTGAACAAATGTAATTTTAGGTCTCTATTATAATTATTTTCATTTCCATGTGAAAAAGTTTGGTAGATGTTATTTTACATTTATTTAAGAGATGTAGGTTAAAATGTTGGATTGACACAGATATCTTATATCGTTTTCTCCTGAATCTCTGCTAAAATAAAAGGGAAAAGAGAAACTCTTTTTTATAAGGGACATAACCAGGAAAAGAACAGAAGACAGAACAACATTATTTTAGAAGCTAGAAAGCAGATGGATAAGAGCTAAGTAACAGACTTGGCAAACCTTTCCACCAAGTGTGAGAAAACGGCTCAAAGTTTCTGCATTTAACATTTAATATTCATAAAGCCTAACATGAGGCAGTACTCACACCATACTCTGTCTTGCATCCCTTCATTTTACTCTCTCCACAGAACAAACCACTTGAATTTCTAGATATATAGCAGCTCTGGTGGCATAGTGCCTAAGACATTTGACTGTTAACCAGATGGCTGGCGGTTCAAACCCACCAGTCACTCCCCGGAAGGAAGGTTGGGCAATCTACTTACTAGTGATACCTCCTGGGAAACCCAAGGAGGGGTCATTATGAGTCGGATCTGACTTGACGGCAGTGAGTTTAGTTTTGTTTTTTTTGGTATAGCAATTCATAGAGTCTTATTTAATGAAATAGTGGTTGATTGTCAAGGTGTGACCCAGGAACCCCTGAGGGTCCTGGAGGCCCTTCTAGAAACTGTAAGATCAAAATTATTTTTTATAATAATAAGATACTGTCTCTTTTATGGGATTGATATTTGTACTAACTGGGCAAAAGCAATCCTGGGTAAAATTGCAGTAATCTTGGCACAAATCAAAGTGGCACAAACTGTACTAATAGTTACTGTGTTCTTTACTACCACACACACACACACACACACACACACAAAGAAAAGAAGCCGGAAGTGAGTTACACCTAAGAATATCTATGATGAAGCAGTAAAAGACAATTAATTTTATTAAATCTCAACCTTTGAGTATGTATCTTTTTAATATTCTGTGTGATAAAATGGCAAGTACACATAAAGCATTTCTGCTGTATACTGAAGATCAAAGATTAACCAAAGGAAGAACACTTATGTGAATAAGTGAAGAATTGAATTAGATGCTTTTTTCACAGAATGCCATTTTTACTTGAAAAAACAACTGACATACAAACCATGGTCTGAATTACCATGGTTTGGGTAACGGCAGGCATTTCTTGAAAATGAATGAATTGAGAGCCTGTTGCTTAATGGAAAACAACCGACAGTATTTACTGCAAATGATAAAATCTGAGTTTTCAAGCAAAAATCAGAATTCTATACACCACTGTGAGCTTGACAGTTTTCCAATAAAGGTTTTTCTGATAAGACAGGTGGTGGTATCAATGGAGTGTTTCCTGATACTGTATAATACCGTATAAAGAAATGTGTCAACACTTGGAAGATCTGCATAACTCGGGGAACAAATGTTTTCCAAATTACTGATGTATGACGTCACAAAGTGCTGCGCGACTACAAAGATCTATTCAAAGTGAATTTTAATGAAACAGCATGTGGGAGGTTCACTGAAATGGCTTCAGATTCCACACTGCAAAAAATCTTGAAGACACACTACTTGTCTAGTTTTGGTGTAGTATCAAAGAATATCCATAATTAGCTGAAAAAGCTATTAAAATACTGCTGTCTTTTCCAATACTGTATTCGTTTGAAGTTTTATTTTCTTCATATACTTTAACCAAAACAAACTATCCTTACAGATTAAATACAGAAAGCTGATAAAAGAATTCAGCTATCTTCCATAAAGCCAGATATTAAAGCTACCTGTAAAAAAAATGTAATACCATGTCACTCTTCTCACAAACTTGTTCCGTAAAATAGTTATTTTTCTTAAGAGGTGTTCTGTTAACACATAGTTGGTTTATTGTTATTTTAATGAATAAATAATTCGTTGCCGTCAAGTTTTTCTGACTCTTAGCAACCCTGTAGGATACAGCAGAACTACCCTATAGGGATTCCAAGACCGTAATCTTTATGGAAGCATATTGCCACATCTTTCTCCCGTGTAGTGAATGGTGGGTTTGAATACCCAATTTTTCAATTATGCCAAGCACTTTAACCACTGTGCCACAAGGGGTCCTTAATAAACTAATATTTTAAAATTTGTTTTAATTTCTAATATGTTAAGTATTGATAAATATAAGCCACCTGAACAAAAACTCTTTGGGGAACTTGAGATCCAAAAGTATAAGAGCTGCTGTAACAAAAAGTAAATTATGTTTCCCTAAAAAGCTGTAGTACTTGAAGAGTGGGGCAGGATCTTTTCTTTCCTATTCATTCCTTGTAACATTTATTAAATAAGCACAATACTAATTTGCTGATCCATAAATACTCTTAAAGGACTAACATAACTTAATAGCAATTATGGGACAAGAAACAGTTATACATGTTCCCCAACTCTGAGAAGCCCACAGGGGTTGGGAGTAGTGGTGGTTCAATGCTGCTCACTGCCCATTGCCTTCCACTGCCTGCCCTGGGCAGGGACTCTACTCATCCTCTGTCTGCCCCAGCCCATTTGCTTTATGCAGTAACAGTAACTTACGTTACTGACTGTACCTGCAATACTGAAAATAAAACTTACAGTAAAAAGCAAAAGCTATTTTTAAAATTAGCTACTTACTTCTCCACCAAGAACTCTGGCCAGTAAGAAAATTGTTAGGGAACCAAATATCCAAATGGTGATAATCCATGAGACCACCTTAAGAGAAAACAACAAAAAGTTATTTCATGCAATTAATTTCTTTGTTTGTACTAAGTAAGCTGGTAGTTTTCCAAGAACTCAATTCTCTGCCATATAAGATAGTTTGACATGCCCAAACTTCAGGTCATAGAAAGGTTGTGTGAGTCGCAGGTATCTTTCCAAAATTTAACTAGAATACAATGTTCAATTCAATTTAACACCCATATTGAAAATTTAGCAGTGATTAACTGCTTACAGAAACCTCAGGATTTTAGTATCTGTGATAAAAGATTATTGCAAAAAAGGGAACAAAGCACTTATTCCAAGCCCCTGGTTTACAGAATCCTGCAATGAAATTAATAACTAAAACAAATTACCAACCTTCTCTACAGGTCTTTAAAATTTAAATTAGTTACACATTTATTTAATTAATAGAATACAGAAGACATTTCAGACAATGTTAACTCCTCAGACTTAGCATGATACATGCATTTATTTTCAAATTCTGCCTGCAAGGAGGGGCTAGAAACAATAACTACTCCAGTAGCAATATAAATATACTTATTATCCAGATACTAATTTCTAAATATCATTTCCAATAAAAGGAAGCAAAACTCCTTAAACAAATCTCTGATTCCAGGACTGAGACAGAGAAAATATATGATGAACCTGGAAGACCTTGTACAGTCAGAAAGTAAGGAAATGCTCAAAAAAAAGATGGAGACATGATGAAAGGATACAAAAGCCAACCTGATGAGGCCCCCAATGGCTAAAACTAGAACAATTTAAGCAATAAAATAAATGATGTTAGTATTAGATTATAACTCTCAGAATAAAATAATTATCCGTGAGTTTGTACTGATATAAATAATTAAATAACTAAGTAATGGGAAAGAAGGATAACTGTTCCTTAAAGAAAAATAACAATTACACCCACTCCTCACTTAATGATATGGCCAAGTTCCAAACACCAAATTGTTAGGTGAAATTAGTTTTACACAAGAGTCAGGGGCTACATTCTGTCTTCGGTGCTGGTAGCCCCCTCCCAGTCTCTCAGGCACCCCCAGCACATTTTGGGATGGGTGTGGTGTGGTAGGCTCCCTTCCTCATCACATGTTCCCCAACTCTGCGGAGCCCACAGGGGTTGGGAGTAGTGGTGGTTCAATGCTGCTCATTGCCCACTGCCTTTCACTGCCTGCCCTGGGCAGGGACCCTGCTCATCCTCTGTCTGCCCCAGCCCATTAGCCTTATGCAGTCTCTTTCCCTCTCCATTTCCTGCCTCCCCCACCAACATCCTGGCACCTTCTGGCCTTCCCTTGCCTACCCGTGCAATCCTGCTATCTATCACTCCATGCCCTCAGTGGCCAGACCAACATGTTGCAAGTAAACCGAGAAGGCATTCCATGGCCAGTCAACTGCTATCATCAGGACCTCCAGTATATCATTCGGGGTGGCCCACAGAGGGCACCCTGGGCCTAGCCATAGCTCCAAGTGGGGTCCAGATCATCAGAGGAGCTGCTTGAGACTTATTTTCAAAGCTGTCGTAAATGTGAAATGTTAGATAACGAGATAGTTGGTAAGTGAGGAGTAAGTGTAATAAATGTCAAAGGAATGACATAAAAAATCTCCACTTAGCAAACATTATAGTAATAATTATTGCATGCAATATTCATCAATATTGGGCTAAAGTTGGATGAGAAACAGGATTATTTGCATAATTGAAAGGCAACTTGACAAGGTATTAATTATAAAGAGAAAATAGCAGCTTTACAACAGAGGAACACTTTATCATCTAATCAAGTGATCAAAGTTAATATCACCAATAATAAGACATATCAGAATCTTACTCAAAGAAGGGTACAACAAATCACTTCTGGGATATTCTTGCTAAAAATGTATAAACTCAATCCAATCACAAGAATACATCTGACAAACTGAAATTGAAGAATAGTCTATGGGGGCAATAATCTCGTGTTTAGCCTTAGAATCCTTTGTTCAAATGAAAGGTTATATAAAATAAATAAAACATGGTCTAGATGAAGGTTTGGCAGTGGGTAGGAAGTCAAAGCCCCCTTTTACCTTCAGTGGTCCTTACAACACTTCAACAGAACACCCAATATAAACTAGTGATCTAGGGTAAATATTAATAGGACTAGTATAACACTCAGTGAATACAGTTCAGAGGCTCCTTATGGTAGGTTGAATAATATCCCCTGCCGTAAGAGGTCTGTATCATAAAACCAGGAACCTGTTAATGTCACTTTATACAGCAACAGGGACTGTGCATATGTGATTAAGAATTCTGAGATGGGGAAATTATCCTGGATTATCTGGGTGGGCCCTAATGTAGTCACAAATATCCTTGAAAGACTGAGGCAGAGGGGAGACCTGATGATAGTAGAGGAAAAGGTGATGTGACCCTGGAAGCAGAGACTGGAGCAATGTGGCCAGGATCCTAGGAATGCTGGTAGCCTCTATAAATGGAAAAGCCAAGAAAGAAAGAGGATTTTGCCCTGGAGCCTCCAGAAGTACTAGCCCTGCTGACATCTTGATTTAGCCCCTTAATTAAGATCCATTTTGTACTTCTGACCTACAGACCTGTCAGAGATAAATGTATGTTGCCTTAAGCCACTAAGTTTGTAGCAACTTGTTACAAGAGCAACAGGAAACTAATACATTTCCAAATCACTCTGGGGTGAAGAGTTACTTTTTACTGCCTCAGAGGTCTTAAAATAAGGACGATGTTTGTACTTGTATGATAAAGTTCCTGAGAGTAGGACAAAGTGGTTAAAATATCAGAAGCAGTATAGAAACAAACACTGATGGAATCTATGCTATCATTTATTAAATATGTTTATTTTTAAAAATAGAACTTTTAAAAATGAATAAAAGGTAACAACATGATTATGAGTATTGTATTTCAAATTCTTCATCCCTTAAGGAAGTCAAAAGGTATTGAAGAATGGTCAACTTCTAGTCAGCTGGGAGTAGTTCTATCCATGTACGCTAATGTATCATACAAATAACAACATTTTCTGTGTGAATGATGGCATTTAGGAAGCACTCATTTAAGGTACTCCCTTGCTCAATTATGAACAGTTTTGGAGAGGAACAAAAAATACTGGGTAAAGATAAAGCATTTCTCAAACGCAATGTATTATTTACAATTAATATTTGGCAATATTAATTTTAAACCTCTTAAAACATTCAAAATATATAAATAAGGTATACTTACCCTAAACTGTCCATATAACGATATCATGGAAAAGAAAAGAACAACAGCCAGAGGTCCCCAAAAGTCAGGATTGTCTCTCACTACTTGTCTATTAAAACCAAGTGATGGCATTGGCATCAAAACACATCGGATTTTGTAGTAAATATCCTTTAGATCAATATCCAATTCCTCCCTATAATTTTAAAACAAAAATTCTCAAAAGGCACACTTCTGAATACTGAAACAGTTGCAAAAGAACGTAAGAAAAATGTAAGTATGACAGTATAGTCTCCCTAGGTCGACGAAACATTTCAAGTACCATATTTCACTGATTCTTAGGTGTACATTTTTTCAACATTTCATTATCTTTAAAGTCAAGATTCATCTCATAATAGCTAATGTCTTACAACTGTTGTCAGCCTATAGCAAAGCCAAGTGCTTCAAATATTTGCCTTTGCTTTTGCTTAATCTCTCAGCTTTATGCCATTTTTGGTACTTTTTCTTTCTTAATGATTTATAAAATAACTGCATCTTATAATCCATGTCTTAGATGTTATAAAATATGGTACATTAAATTAAGAAAGGGGATGTTGTAGCACTTGATTTTCTAGTGTTCTACTAATCACCACTACAAAGAATAACTTGGTAGCATTTATTTTACAAAGCTATAGGTTTTTCTGGTGGTGTAGTGCCTAAGGCTAACCGGCCAGCGGTTCAAATCTACCAGCTACTCCTCCTCAGAAGGAAGGCTGTGCAATCTACTTCCATAGAGAAACCCCCTCAGAAACTCAAGGAGGTGTCACTATGAGTTGGAATCGATTTGACGGCTGTGAGTTTTTGTTTTTCTTTTAATAGGTTCTTCCAACCAAAATTGCTATTTATTTATTTTCCAGATGATATATAATCATTTTAAATATTTCAAGTACTGTGCAGAAAGTGAAATTCTCCCTACAATTAATTCTCCTAGTGGCAGCTCTAGAATTTCTATATAGGAGAGATTTCAGTTGTAATCTTTTTTGAAGTCTTAACTTGTCCAAAGCCTGAATCTATCTGTATAGCAAGCACCTGTTTTTTCATTTAGACTTTTTTTTCATTAGACTTTTTACTTGAGAAACTGATAGTACCAGAAAGTCCTAAAAGTCTGGTGTGCATCTGTGTCTGAGATAGATACAGAATTACCATTTTATTACTTCTTGTCATTCAATAGGTTAAAACAATTTTTTTTATTATGTTAATTTTTTTATTACTAACAAAAACAGAAATTGCTACTGCTTTTGACCAAAAAGGTTAAGGTTTTCCATACCTGTCTTTAAATAACATGAAAGAATCATCCCACAAATTAGCTCTAATAACCAAAATGTGCATATTATTCTTTTTACGTACAAGAGTGGCTTGTTGTCTTCAGGATCATCATCTTCAACTTCCAAAAGCCAGCCATACCCTCTCTGTCTCAGAAATGTAGTAGCTGTAGATTCTTTGATAAAATCTCCACCAAGGTTTAATTTGACATCTGGAGGTGCTATTGAACCACTGAGATCTTGGGAGAAAAGAAGACAAAATTGTAAACCAAGCTAAACAAAATGTGCTCATCAAAGTGAACATATATTCAAATAAGATAATTATCATGTAAAGTTCTCTAACTATGAACATATGCTACATCATACAATCTTCAAATTTTATACTGATAGGTATCTAAAAACCAGCTTTTATTTTACAAGCAAGAAAATGAAAGACAAAGAGGTAAAAAGACATATAAAAAGTTTCACTGCTAATTAGCTAAATGCTCTTGCTGCTGCTGTAGCTGTTGAAGCAACTCATGGTGACTCCGTGTATGTGGAGGAGAAATGCTTCACAGGATTTTCAAGGTTATTACCATTCTGAAGATCATGTATAAGGTGCCTCTCTCTGGGTGGGTTTGAACCTTTCAGCTAACAGTCAAGTGTTTAAATGTTGGCACCACTCAAGGACTCCTATATCAATGTTAAGTTCTGGACAAATTTGACTAGTTCCCTGCTATTTCATCTAACTCTTTTCCTTTTATGACTACAACATTCATCTTTAGTTTTGACAAAAATAAAGGCTTTTTTTTTTTTTTTTAGTTTAGCTATAACAATGGATGAAGAGATTGAGTTACCTATATTAAAAAATTCTATTCAGGGCCTGCACAGTATCTTAAGAGATTACAGATAATCACTACAGTACAAATGCCACATATTCTGGCTGGAAAAAAATAGGAATAGTTAAGAAACTGCTTGAGGTCAAATAGCAATTAAGAAGGAAAAAACAACAAAAACAATTTGTAGGGCTATGCAATGTTGTTGTTACATGCCGTCAAGTCGACCCAACTGATAGCGACCCCTCCTTGGGTTTCCGAGGCGTTATCACTATGGAAGTAGATTGCCTAACCTTCCTTCCGAGGAGTGCCTTAGGCACTACGCTACCAGAGCTCCTTGGGCTACGTAATATACACTAGTAAATAACCATCATTGTTATATAGACCAGAAGAGGAGGAAGACCAGAAGGTTGGCAGTTCAAACCCACCAGCCACCCTGTGGAAGGAATATGGGGTAATCTACTTCTTTAAAGATTTACCACTTTGGAAATCCAATGAGGGTGGCTATGAATCGGAAACTACTCCATGGCAGTGGATTTGGTTTTTTTTTTTTTTTTGGTTGTTGAATAGTACTTAAGAAAAATGATTTTTGACAACAGCATGCCAGAACATTCTAAGGTCCTGCTTGCCTGGGGTTTATCTCCAACCAATATTTAAGTTAGCTTCCTTCCAAAAAAGAAAAAAAAAAAAAAAAAAAACCAGCAAGTTTTTCAAAAAAAGAAGACCTTAATTTGCACATGGGAGCTCTGGTGGCGTAGTGCCTAAGGCACCTGACTGCTAACCAGAAGGCTGGCAGTTCAAATCCACCAACCACTCCTCGGAAGGAAGTTTGGGCAATCTACTTCTGTAGTGATACTGCCTCGGAAACCCAAGGAGGGGTTGCTATGAGTCGCATCTTGACTCAGTGGCAGTGCATTGTGTTGCATTAATTTGCACATTATTCTAAATTCTAATTTTAAAGGCCATTAAAATTTTGGCTTTAACTTCAATGTCTGGCTCAATTATGATTCACATCCTGGTCTGGTTGTGACAACTCCTACAATAAATTATGATAACATTCACATTTTGAAGCTAAGTCCTACCTTAGCTCCAAATTAATTCAGCAACTCATTTATGATTTCTTGGCCCTGTTTCCTATTCAAAGTTCCTTTCAGGTTTAACATTATATGATTCTGAAACGTTTTTATAAGGGGGTTTACTCAACTAGAGATTAAAGGCAAAGACCTTTTTAATTTCACTGTCCTTTCCTATTTAACGTTTTAAAATAGCCCTGCAGATGCTAGCAGCCATAAACCTTGTGCCACATTTCCTTAACTGTGGTTAAAACAGTCTCTCAAAATTACTCTCCTTCTCTAAATTAAAATGAAATAGTTGAAATTTAACTAAAATTCATTTCTCATAGGTAGAAAGGGAGCTTTTTCCTGATTTAACAAGTGGAAGATTTAGATCAGGAAGTCATTAGAATAGTGACATTAAAGCTTTTAGAATTATGAGGCAGGAAAGGACCTTAACAACTGTTTCCTGGCCTCTAGAAGGGACTATATTAAACTGGCCAGAAAGATCCTTAGGGATTGCTTCATAAACTATATTTAATCTAAACAAAATATAAACTATAGTACTAAGGAATGTGCTGCTGAAGAATTGTATATGTTTAACAATTTGTCATAGCATGAGTGCTAGAACCTCAAAATACATCTTTACCTTACAGCTTTTGTAGCATTTTTCCCTTTCATGCAAAGTAGAAAAATATTATCATGGACATGTGTAGGAATGCCAGCAACAGCAATCTGCCACCTCCTCCAGAACCCCCGAAACATAATTAGGTGTGAGTGGGGGTAAAATAACAGGAAAGTAAAAAAACAAACCTGGTAGATAGCCTAGTATGATAGCAAGTAAAAAATAAGGTCAGAGAACACAAATAATCCAATTTAAAAATGGGCAGAAGACATGAAGAGACACTTCATCAAGGAGGATATTCAGGCAGCCAACAAACTTACGAAGAAATACTCATGATCGTTAACCACTAGACAGATGCAAATCAAAATAACAATGAGATACCATCTTGCCCCAGCACTAGTAGCAAAGTTCAACAAGACAGAGAATGACAAATGCTGGTGAGGATGTGGAGAGATTGGGACTCTCATACACTGTTGGTGGGACTGTAAGATGATACGAGCATTGTGGAAAGCAGTATGGCGATTCCGTAAAAAGTTGGAATTAAAAATACCATTTGACCCAGCCATTCCATTACTAGGTATATATCCTAAAGAAGTGAGAGCCATGACAAGAACAGCACACCCATGTTCATCGCAGCACTATTTACAATAGCAAAAAGTTGGAAACAACCTAGGTGTCTATCAACTGAGGAATGGATAACCAAACTATGGTACATACACACAATGGAATACTATGCAACCCTAAAGAATAACATAGAATCTGCAAAACACCGCATAACATGGATGAACTTGGAGGACATTATGGCGAGTGAAATAAGTCAATCACAGAAGGACAAATATTGCATTAGTCTGTTATTGCAAAAGTCAAGGCACAGTTTATATATGGAAGGAAATTTTCTTTGTTGGTTACCAGGGGTGGGAGAGGAGGGCAGGGAACACTGTTAAGTAGAGATAAGTATTGATTTGGGTGAAGAGAAGGGCAACGTATCAAATATAAGTGATCAACGTGGTGGCACTGAGGAAGAGGAAGAAATACAGAAGTACATGGGAGGTGCAGACAACAAAGATGAACCCTTTTGCACATACTGCGTTGTCAGTGAAGGCAAACACGGGTAAATGGGTGGACAGATGGGTAGACAGGCTGAACTACTAGGTATGTCTATGCAGCAGGGAGTGTACCCAAGACTATGTATGGGGTTGGCAGACAATGGTTCTACAAGTGTATTTGTATGTTTTGTAAGAACTCCCAGGGGTATAGTAGAGTTGACAAGGGACAAGGTTGTAGTCACTTCTTGGTCACAGCCAGCTACCCAGAGGGACTGAGTAGTTGAACTGGTGGGCTTGGGACCATAGTCACAGGGTCATCAAGCTCAACTGGTGTAACATACTACACAAAACAGTGTTTCACCTCCTACTTTGATAAGTAGCGACTGGGATCTTAAAAGCTTGCAAGCAGCCATCTAGATGCAATGATGGGTCTCTCCTCATCCAGAGCAAAGAAGACTGAAGAAAACCAAAGACTGATGGAAACAATTAGTCTTCACGACTGGTACACCATCCGATCCTCTGCCTATACGACTTTGAGACCAGAAGAATTAGATGCCTGGCTACCACTGTCAACCACTTGGAGGGGGATCTACGTAGGACATCCTTGATAGAGAGGGAGAACAATCTCAAAATCATTTGGGGGTGGGGGAAGGAGGGGGCCAGGTTTGCTGGTCTGATAGAGCCTGGTGGAACCACTGAGACTATGGCCCCTATCTGCCCTTCAGGTCTGGAATTGAACCCATACCTGTGGCTTCCAGCCAAACAAAAGATAGGCATATGAGCTGAACATGTACCTGAGGTAGATACACTCCTTGGAGAGAACAATCATGGGAGAAAGAAGGGATGTTTATGCACAGAGAGACAGTTCAGGGGGCAGGAGTGCATGGAGGGATGGGCACAGGGAAGAGGTAACTTTCAGGAGGAAGTGGGAGGGGAGCTGTTGCATTGGGGTAAATTGTAGTCAATGTCATGGGACAACGTGTGTGTGAATTGCTGTATGGAAAGTGAATTTTCTCTGTAAACTTTCACCCAAATCACAATTTAAAAACAAAACAAAAAAAAAGAAAGTGGACCAAAGTTGATTTAAAAAAAAGGTCAGAGAACAAGGAGGAAATATCAAAATCACTCCAGGAGCATGGCTAATTTAAGTTAAACCAGAATGAGTAAGTTTTGTTGTTAACTCTAGGATTGGTGTCTAGAACTGTTAAACACAAATTTTAAATTAATCCTTCTTACCGTACTATGTACAATCTTTTTGTCATTTTCTAAGGAAAACATAAAAAGTATAATAAACATTATTGTTGTTATGTGCCATCGAGTCAGACCCAACTCACAGCGACCCCTCGTTTCCGAGACAGTATCACTACGGAAGTAGATTGCCCAAACTTCCTTCAGAGGAGTGGCTGGTGGGTCTGAACCACCAGCCTTCTGGTTAGCAGTCAAGTGCCTTAGTGGATTTAAAAGGAAACCAAATCTCTGAAAAACATATTGCAAAAGAAAATCTTAAAAATATTTCCACTGCTACATGGGCTCAAGTAAGGAAAAATATGACTAAGTTTCATGTATTATAAACAGCCCCCTGGAAGAACCAAACTTTAACAGTATTTTTCCCTCCCTTTCAAGACAAATGTGTAATTAAGTAAAGGGCAGTTCCTCTGAATATTTTGTTCAGTCTGAGAACTTCACTTTGAAATGAAAGAA